TCTAACCGGTTCGGTAGATTTGACGAAACGGTTCTACCAAATAGGTGCGAACTGGTAGGAACCCACCTCTGGGTATACATATATACTGTAGATGTATAGATACACACACACAAACATCCAAAATCTCCCACACTTTAATTTTCCATTTGTGTTCCCCCCCTTGTTTATTTTAGTTCTTTCTGCATTTTAATTTTTAACATGAGGCTTTAACATGAGGTTTCATTTGTATGTGTGTGTGTGTGTGTGTGTGTGTGTGTGTGTGTGTGTGTGTGATCAAGTAGAAATCCAAACATTTGAAACATTCATACTCAATGTTGTTACCCAGAACAATTCTTGTTCAATTAAAAGAAATCTGTTAAGAATGAAGCTATTAATATTACTAATAAATGGTGACTCACTGGGACATTTTTCAAAGCTCTTTGCTTTTGTTTTTCAGCCTAAGCATTTCCTCTCTTTAAGCATCTTTAAATGCCATTGATCCAAAGGAAGGTGTATTTTTGTTTTCCACATGAAAATATCAATACTTATTACACAGTTAACTTTCAGGATAAACAATGTTATGCAGAGCATTGAAAAGAAGTCAGAAACAATAAGCCAAAAAAATAAAAATAAATAAAGATATGAAATGAGAAAAAGAAAAGATAGAGAAATCTGATTTGCATCAATACCTTTATTAACCTTTTCGTAGCCTTTTACCATTACAAATCCCCTTTGCTTCCAAGACGTATAGATGTCACTATTTACACTCCCCTTTGTTTTTGAATTGTCCAGTGTTTTGTAACAATAGATCTAAAATGTCTTCTTCTAAGAAAAAAGCTCAATCAATTATTTAGATTGCAATAGCTTGTCTTAGGAAATATAGGCAGTAAATCACCAACAAGATTCATTGTCTAAGGGTTATTTCTCCAAGAATCTTGGACCAAAAAAATATGACTAATTGGATGTTGTCACATGCAGGCCCGACAATCATCTGGCTGATGTGCATACACAGGCTGGTTTTCGGCACTGCCATGCGCGTTAAGGGATTGTGCTCCGGAAAAGCCAAATTTCCGGGTTTTAACACGCATGCACACCCAAAAACCAGCTGGCCAGCGGGCATGCTCACACCGGTTTTTGGCACTGCTGCATGTGAGAAGGACAGCTGATCATCGCGAGCACATGCATGCCAGAAACCCAGAAGACAAACAGGCAAGCTGCGCGTGCCAGGTGACATGCGCACGGGTGCCATAGATTCGCCATCACGGTTCTAAGCCAACATGGGCGGTGGGGGATCTGCCAACCTTGCAGTTCGAAAGCACATTAAAAAATGCAAGTAGAAAAATAGGGCCCACTTTTGGTGGGAAGGNTATCATGCCTTAATCCCATCACCCTGGAGCTGAAGGGGGGAGATTTTTGTTATGTAGAATAGACTGGCTCGGGCATTTTAATGGCTTATTGACAAAGGTGGGGGCTATTAAGAGTGAGTCTGTTTCCTAACTAAAAACACATTTCTCCATTTCTTATCCAGGGAAATATAATATTCTGCCTTTTCAATATTTCCCAGGATATTTCATTTTTCTAGGAGGTGGGTAGATGCTAACTTCTTACAGTGCCAATGTGCTACTGGTTGGACTATTGTACTGTGCTCTACATGCTCTACTAGTTGCACAGTATCTATTCATTTGGGTACAAAATGCAGCAGAGTGCGCAGTTAAATGTGTTTCTAGCAGAGCAAATATTGCACCTCTGCTCAGCATTACCAGTTACCAGTTTGTTTCCCAATCCAATTCAAGATGGTGGTTTTGACGTTTAAAGCCCTAAGTGGTAAGGGATCAGGTTATATGAGAGATCACATCTTCCTGTCCCACCAGATCCAGTGGAGAGGACATGCTACAGGTTCTGGCAAATAGGGAGCTATATTTGGTGGGCCGTAAATGATGGACCTTTTCTGCTGTGATATCCATGTTATAGATTATCTTCCCCCTGAAGTGATGCTGTCTTGATCACTTTTGACTTTCTGAAGATCTCTTGAGATTTGGTTGTGCCCTCAGGGCCAGGGATTCCCAGAGACTGGCAAAATATTGAGATTATTAACATCCATTTTTTGGTACTGTCCATGAAGCTTTCAGTCTCTTCAGGGTTTTCATCTCCTCTAGGACTGACCGGTTTGATTGCCTGCAAGTCCCAACCAATCAGTCCTAGAGAAGATCAACCCTGACTGCTCTTTAGAAGGCCAGATTCTGAAGATGAAACTTAAATTCTTTGGCCACCTAATGAGAAGGAAGGACTCACTGGAGAAGAGCCAGTGGCTGATGGAGGACAGGAAGGAGGAACGTTGTCCATGGGGTCGCGATGGGTCAGACATGACATCGCAACTAACAAAACATCCCTTTGCCCAACATCTCTTCTTTGCTTTTAATGGTTTTAATAACAGTAACAATCCTTTGTTATTTGTTAACGTAACTTTGTTGTACATTAACGAACGTCACTTGTATTGTGAGATGAATAATATTTAAATTTGATGACAATTTGATGGATGGGGCGTGATGGATTCATCACTCACAACTTCAGCTTTATTGGAATGGAGAAATAATCATTTGCTCTTTGTCCCTCCAGCTATAAAAAGTTTCAAAGCTCCCAAAACGCCTGAGGCCCTGCCTTACCAATCTTTTCGCAAGAATTATTTTTACATGACTTTGAACACCACCGTGTCAAACTACCCCTGTCCAGAAAAAAGCAATGATATTACCATCCTGCGTGTGGGGAGTGAAACCGAGTGCGTTGTGGATCCTTCGCGGCCAGATTGTAATGGTCCCCTCGCAGGCCCTGGACCGTACAGGTGAGAAAAGAATATTCAAAGTTTCCCTGAAGTTCCCGAGCTTCCTGCCACTGCTATTACTGGTTTACTCAATCCGGAGTGAACCAGCAGCAACCCACTTCTGGTAGGTAGGTAGGTAGGTAGGTAGGTAGGTAGGTAGGTAGGTAGGTAGGTAGGTAGGTATAGCTATAGGTATAGGTCAGTGGTGGGTTTCAAAAATTGTTCGAACCTACTCTGTGGGTGTGGCCTCCTTTGTGGGAGTGGCTTGCCGCCCATGTGACCGGA